AGGAGCCTACTAATAAATATTAAGGGATGTCGATTTCGATACCTTTATACAGTTTACACTTTAGCCTAATAATCTTAGGTAACTATAATCGCTATCGTAGTGTAAATGACGTAAAAGTGAAATTCCCGTTTGTTTTTCCTTGCGAAATCGACGCGGCGACACAATGAAACCCTCTCAGCATACTAATAACACTCAAAGACAACGGCACTTTTTCTTTCATCGCTTTTATAATATTGACGTTGAATTTACGGCACTTTGCTCATAAAAAATACACAATGCAGTAGTATTTCCTCAGTTTTATTTATAATATCCGATTCACTAAACGAATTATACCAATTATTACTGAAAAGATTTTTCGTTTCTTATCCGAATTTACAATATGTAGAAATTTATTTATACGTTAAGATAAAAGATAAGAAAAAATATACACTGTTCCTTTAATCGAAATGAAATTGTTTGTTTATGTAAATTTAAAGAAAACAACAACAAAAAAAAAAAAAAAAAAAAAAAAAAAAAAAAAAAAAAAAAACGAAAACGATCTTGAATTTATAAATAATAATACGCTTTTATTCATAATAGAATGTTCGTAATGGAATAGAAGATTGTAAGTATAATTTGCAAAAATGTTAAAACTGATCGTTCGAAAAATCTGCGAAACATCGACTCGCAAAGTTTTTGTAAACCAGTCCATTTATCAATATGTATATCAATTATTATGTATCGTAATGACATCATGACTATCAATATTACCTGAATAATATTTTTACGTGAATTTTTTGACAATCGACCGGAGACTGCAAATTTTATTGCGTTATAATAATGCTTTTTTTCTAATCGGCTAATGTATTAATTCATGAATTATTGGCACCTGAAATACATGGCGTAACAGACTTTTTGCTTTCTGAACTTATTGCTTTCTTTTTCGCTCATTATTTATCTATCCTTTAAATTTATAGATTAAATATTACAGAATACTTCAAATTCATAATTTCAAAGAGATTTTTGTATGCTTATCAATTTTAACGCAATTAAATTCTAATTCAGATTAGTCACATAGTATTGAGATAAAATTAACGTTAATCGTACGAAATATTTAATATAAAATATACTCAGAAAATCGTATGGCCACTAATTACCACGAAGCCCTTATCGTATGTCCAAAAGCATCGACGAACAGACACAAAAATCTTAAAATATTTGAGCATCGTTAATAGCTTCCTTAAACAGTGCCAATTGATTTTCATTCTTCTTACACGTTAATACACAATATTTCATTATTATTCAATATCATAAAGAAGTTTAAATAATATTTATATATTTACTTATCTTAATTTTACATGTTATCTATAAATATTATTTACAGATAATATTAAAAAGATTAATAATAAGATTAAGAAATATTATAGTTAAATATCGTATATGACGTATTCTTCTGGTCATCGACTTATATTTCCGTGAAATTGAGAAAATTTAAGATATAATGAGGAAAAAAAAAAAAGAAAAAGAAAAAAGAAAGCAAGGAAGAACGACACACCAAAAATCTGTCCGCCACAAACAATGAAAAATTATTCGTCGATCACGTCGATTACAGCAATACATTTATTATCGCGTGCTAGCAACGTGCGATGCACCGCTGTATTGCTTGCAAACTAAATCCAGGGGCCGATCGAGCCTTATTTTTCTTGAATTTTTTTTTTTTTTTTCTTGCTCTTTTGACATTAAAATGAATGAATTAAAATGGGTGCTTACACTCGAGAAGACGATGGCCCCGGGAATATGTTATGCTCCTTTATTACTATCGTTAAATATGTATTACCTCAACTATACAACTGTTTTGATCTTAACGTTATACAAAAATTTTTCTTTCCTTTTTTTTCTTTTTCATTTCTTCGTTACGTTTAAGTTTAACACTGGCGAATAATATATGCGTTATAGTGAGCGGACAATGTCGCAATTTACATTGATCATTCTCAGCTTTCAATACAAGTGTTCACATAGATTTTGACGAGGCACTGTTCAGTGTTCAATACTAAGAAAACAATAACAATTATATTTAGATTATCGTTTCTTTTCCGCAGCGTTATTCCACGCAATGTCATTAGGTAAGTGTCGTGACAGTCATTTTGACGAACAATGAATTGATCCTTGCGAATTAAAAATACCTCTCCGTTGGGCTGATTTTTCGTTTTTATTTCCTCTCTATTTCATTGTTTCTTGTTCTAAATACTTTATCTGATTGCTCCAAAATGACAAAAACAAAAGAGAGAAATTAAAATGAAAAGAAAGAAAAAAAAAGTAAAGCAAACGTTTGGTGGATGATTAAAAAACTGCGCAATGCGGGACTTTGGATGTGTAGTATCTCAACGCGGCGTTAAAAACGAATTTTCCACATTTACAATTACCGTCAGATTATTTATGATTTTCTTAAGCTATTTGCAAAATCGAATACGAGGACGCTAAAATTCTTTCGTACTTCCGTATTTCGTTTTTTTTTTCTCTTTTTTTAGAAAATAAAGAAAAGGAAAGAAAGAAATCTTACCGGAGGAAAGAATGCGCTTCCGTAACAAGTATACTTTAAGTAAAATTGATACAATTTTACAGAAACGAAGACACAATATAAATACATAATGTAAATGATATTTTTGCTATTGCAGAGCCACCTAAGAGATTTTCTCCAGTTTTCCTTCAGCTTTCACTAGGATACAGTTGTCGATTTTCAATATATAATATATTTGAATGTGATGTTTGGTAAGTTTACGTTGACTTGCATTTGACATTAGGTTTTCAAGAGCAGGTTAAAGTCAGTGAAATTGGATTGGTGGCTCAAAACCGATGATATGTTATTTAATTTTCATTCCTTTATTTATATTTTAAATAATTTTAATTTAAAAATTACAGAGATCATTTTCCTCGATGGATTGTCGATTATGACAAAATAAAAATGTTTGCGATTTCATGTAATGTATATCATAATATAAGCGCGCGCGAGCGCGCGCGCGAGAGCATGTTACGTGCGTATGTGTGGCGTGGGCGCGTGCGCTCGTGTAACTTTGATAAATCGCATTTTACGAAATAATACAGAAATAGGCGAATTAACTTCATCGAATAAACAAAAATAATAAGCAAAAGAATAAAATACGAGAGAAAAGGATTGAGTTTTTGAGAGAGACAGAGAGAGAGAGAGAGAGAGGGGGGGCTCGGGTTGGCGGTGGTGGGGCGGGGGGGGGGAGATTAGCATGAGATAAAGTAAAAATATTCTACACGCTACGGAGAAATCGGATTTAATAGTTTTTAAGTAAATATCATTTCTATACGGTCACCGTTAAGATTCGGCGATATTTTTCTTTTATATATATAAATAGACATTATGTCGATATTAAAATTTGTCCATCACTTGTTCACAAAAGCGAAACAAGGCGTTAGAATTCACCTTATCTAGAGTTTCAAAATAAAATTTCCTATCTAATTGTAGCTTAAAACACTTTCTTCTAACTAAAATGAAGATGATTGATTCGATAAGAGCGTAATATTTTATTCATATGCGTGACATGATATACAGAATCGACATTAAAAACGGTTTTCCGTTTTTCTCACTTTTTTTTCGTTTTTTTTTGTTTTTGTTTTTTTGTTTTTGTTTTTTGTTTTTTTTTTGATTGATAATTGCGTGTCGATCAAATTTACGTTTTATATCTAATTCACGAATTCAACACGTAATATATGCATGTTCACTATCTGCATTTATTTTTTCTAAAATTTTATTTATCCTCTTGACTAAAAGAAACATTCTAAGCATTCGCGAATAAGTAGATAATTTAAGAGCCGATATTCAGCGGACCTTGAATGAAAAGTCTTTCCTTTGAAGTTTGCACGTAGCAAAATTTTCACTAACACATATACATATACATATACATATACATATATATACATAAACATATACATATATATATATCAAATTCCTCTTTATGTTGTATCGTAAAATAATACGTAATGTATTCGATTCAAAAATACAATATGGAATTTTATTAGGCTTCGTTCAAAAAGAGTATTATAAGATTATCCATATTAGTCGCAAAATAAAAATGATTGCGACTTTATCAACGAAAAATTCGTTCCATTCACGTTTATCTTTATTATAATGTATCAAGTTTATGCATATTAAATTTACTCGTGCTTTCAAAGAATTCAAAGTTATCACACAATCTTTTAATGAGAAGTCGAAACTTATTGTATTATTTGCATTTACATACAAAACCATCTTTCATTATAAGTTTTCATTATCAATTTTATTAATTTTCGCTATTTCTAATAATATTTTGATCTAATATAAACGTCGAAAAGCTATAAAAATGTATTAAAATTTGAAAACTCAAACGTACAATGAAAAACTGTTAATTAACTATCGACCTCCGCGCTATAGATAACAATCATGTGCAAGGAAAACAATTTCTCACAGGGCACACTGTTACATTTTCTTTCCTCGATACCAACTTCAAATTCTTAATCTCATGTTACATCAAAATAATAATTGCCTTTTTATCCTCCAACCATCGTCAATAGTGCATTATAGTTTTACAAACAACTGAGATTATTTCACACTATTCTCAATTCGAGTATATTGCAAAACTCTTACATGTTAATATTAATACATAATGTTGACAATTACTTAATAGCGAAATAAATGAAAAATTAGAAAAGAAAAATCGATCTATCCAGTCTTAAAATCGACTTAAACAGTCAAGGCCCGCCACTAAAATTCGCTACTGATCCAACAATACACGAGCTTAGCATAGAAGTACAATTAACTAAAAAAAAAAAATATTATCGAAAAATTGAGACGCTTTATCTACGCGCGGTGCGTAAGGCCTCCGGGGGAGAGGCTCCGATTGTGACTCGTACGGTTGTTCGGCTGCTGCTGTTGCTGCTGTTGCTGTTGTTGCTGCTGTTGCTGCTGTTGTTGTTGTTGTTGTTGCTGCTGGTGCTGCTGCTGCTGCTGCTGCTGCTGCTGCTGCTGCTGCTCCACGGCCATATTGCTATTTAGGTTGCCGGCGTTGTGATAATGAGGATACCAGTCGTCGCGCCGTCTGCTAAAGTAGTTGCCTTGGCGCATTTCCATGTCTCTCATCATACTCGAGACGTCATCGTTCGTGTCGACGCTCGATACATCAACAGCTGGCAATTCCTCCACTAATGCAGACGTCGAGACCGTGGAGGTGTTTGTGGCAGAGGTATTTGCAGCCGTCGTAACTGACGTCCCCGACGCCGTCGGGGAATAGTGAGAATCTTCGGATGGATTCTGCTGCGTCCGATGCGCAAGCCATGGTTCCACTTTGTGTCATTTACCGTTTTGCTGGAGCGCCGCGTTAATTTGCATCCAGAGATCTTTGTTGCACGATTGTGACCTATAAAATTTACACAAAAATATCTAGTTACACATGCCTTTAAAATGAATAATATAACCTTGTTCCAATTATAATAATAATAATAATAATAATAATAATAATAATAAATAATAATAATAATAATAATAACAATACCAATAACAACAACAACAACAACAACAACAATAATAATAATAACAACAACAATCCCCATTAAAATTAATGATTCATAATGTCTGCTTTTATCGAGTCTATAATCTATCAAACGACAATTTCTATCAAACCGTTGCTTCGGTACAAATTTTACACAAATTATCAATGCATTATACGTCGACGTGCACTTTAGTACTATTTATTTTACACTTTAGTTACTATTAATATACTGTGGTTAATAAAATTTTTTAATAGTTCAAATATTAATGCTATTTCGACATTTACGAGCGATCAATTTCCAATGCACTATTTATCAACATTTGAACCTGAATCCATGAAACATTGAAATATTGAATCTTGTAAAAATATAAAAACATAAGTATGCATGATTGATTATTTTTCTCCAAGAGTCTTTTATAAAGTATGAGTTGCCGTGAGATAACGTAAAACATCCTCTTCTGTGTAACATTATACAAGATTCGTCCAGCAGTTGCTAGGACATTTTAAAATTGGAAATTTTATCAAGAACATTCAAATATTCTTTTACCTTTTTATAGATTGCAACCATTCCTTAAATTGCGTGTGTCCTTCTGGAGTGATGTGAAAGGCAGCTCTTGCCGCGCGTACAAGACTAGCAAATTCTTCGTAATCCGCTGGCATCAGAAGATACAATTTTTGGTGCATACTCTGAAAGTACCTGAAATGGAAAAGGCACAGGCGTGTGTAACAGACTCCAGGCATTCAAACAGATATATATTATATTATCAGTCAATGAATACAAGTCCAAGATATTCTAAAATATTCATCATACAAAAAGTCGTGGCGCAACTTGGCGTATTAAGTAAAAGGTTTTAGGCTTACATTTGCTGGCATTTGTGTACAAGAGGCGCCAGGAGAGCGGATCTAAGTTGCTGAATGACGATAGTCGGATTGTTCCTGGAGAGGTAGAAAGCCGCCTCGAGGGCGACGTCATGCAGAACGAAGGGACTGACGATGCTGTTGACGACAGTGACGCACATCTGATGCAAATATTGAGTGCCGAGACGCTTCGAGACGCGCAGCAGCCACTTGACGTCTTCGCCATACGGCGGATTGCGCGCATATTTCGCTTGCGGTCGATCGTCGTGGACGCGTCGCGAGAGTGTCTCCAGGGCCAGCATTCCCACGCGATAAGCCGCAACGAGAGCACGGAACTGCTGGGGCGTGAACGACTGGTTCTGCCTGTGTACCTGCTGCTGTTAAATAGGATACGGTGCACGGTTAATCACAATTTTCAAATACATTAAACACCTTCAACTGGAAGTTGAGGCTTGATAAGTCGTTTTTATATGTATAAGATGTCACCCGGCAATACGCTTGAGTTTTCATTCATTGTAATTAATGACCGAATGAAGAACACTGATGGTGTTATCTTAATAAAAAAGATGGATGCTCGTTTAAAGTGCTGATAAGCTTTGAATTGGCATATTTACCTGTGGCTGAGTGCGGACGGTTGACATGATAGGCTGTGCCTGTATCAGGGCTGGACCAGGCAAGCCATTTTGACCGGGCATTGGTCCTGAAATGCCAGCTTGTACCTGCGATAATAATTATAATCAATAATTAGTGTCATTATTGTTTGAGTTTGAGTGTCATGTTTAGTTTGAGCTTGCTCACACTTGCACGGTAATTGTAATTTAATTTACTTTTCCAAGACATTGAAGCATAGGGTTAAGAACAGCCCATTTAATTATCATTATCGTTAAAGTCATTCGCGCCATTTTAATATAAATTTTTCTTACGCTACGCACTTACGCGCGATAACAAATTACAAAGATTCTGGTCGCTTGAGTAAATATTTAAGTAAAACAGTCTTGAGAACAGAGAGAGAGAGAGAGAGAGAGAGAGAGAGAGAGAGAGAGAGAGATAGAGAGAGAGAGAGTGAGTGAGAGAAAAAATGGAGAAAGCAGCGATTGAATAAATAGTAATTGAATAAAAGTGGTCCCGAGCTTTCCTATTAATTGTTACTCGATATACTCAAATGAAAAACAGTTATTTTATTAAAATTAACAAACAAACAAACAAACAAACAAAATAGAATAAAGTGATTACATTAATGGGCACGGGCTGCTGCATGGTAAACATATGTTGAGTGCCGGGGGGCGGATGTACATTGACGGTTGTGACGGTCGGCTGGGGCGCGTAAAATTGCGAGACCGCCGGGGGCTGCGTCTGCGGCGGATGATGCGGAATCTGCGGATGATGCATCGGATGGGCCGGATGACGTGGATAGGCGCGATACATCTGCATGTTGGGCGGCTGTGGCGGCATGGCGACGCGATGCGGGGGCATCGGACCACCGAACGGCTGATGCGGGAATTGATGATGCGGGTGAACGAAGCTATACGGGCTCACCGTATACGGTAAACCAACTTCTGAAACAGTATATTGGCTTTGTATTTCTCCTTGTCAAATACTCCTGACTGATTGGGTCTCGTCCATATCAACGAGGCCAGCTTGTCCTTGCAAGAGATTCACGCTGAAAATACGGCCAATTATTTTGGGCTGGCAATTTGTAAAGAGCCAATACCGAGGACAAACGACAGTCGCGAGGACATAGTTTGCTTGTCAAGTGTATTAAACGCGCGGCGGTCATTTATATTCCTGTCATTGATTAAAGATTGACATTCATAAGTACTCTTCTCACCCAAAGGAGCCAGCGTCGTTATCGCCGGATGCACGTAAGGTTGTGGCGGAGGTTGCGCGCTTGTCACGACGACCGTTTGTGCTTGACCTGGCATCAATTGACCGGTTGCTATATCGACGGGAGGGCAGGGTTCCACCATTAATGTCCCATTGGCATCCAGCTGCAGAGAGTCATGGGGCATTTCGTCTTGCTGCTCTCCCCCGGGCGTGTGCTGCGACAAATGCAAATTTTATGCGGATTATAAGCGTGAACGTCGCGCGACCTCGAGGCTAATATACTTGAGAATGGTGAAAAAATCTGCAACCTACCCTCAAGTACATTTCGTACCAATACTTTGCAACTTGGAATAAGACTTCTGGATAAACTCCGCCACCTTTAGCCGTATTTTCAACGGTGATACAGGCTTTTTCCAGCATAAGATCGCTTTGTTCCTTGCACTGCAATAATAATAACAAACAATAAGCATTTAATTAATTAAAAGTGTATGCGTGTGTGTACACAATGTGCAGATTTCATGTACGTATATATGTACAATAATCATACGGTTTGGGACAATGAGTGCAATGGGATGTTATTCGTCGTGCGCATCCCTCGGCAAAAAAAAAAATTAGTCGATGCGTACCTGTAGAATGGCTCTTTGAATCTCATTGGGGTTGAGGGCGTGAGCGTGAGGTAGGCAGGAGAGAGCGAGTTCCGCGGCAGCCCTGACAATATTGAGATCGCTGCCTCGGCTCGACTTGTCAGCAATGCTGACGGCCTCGGGTGGCGTGAGGTGTCCCTCCCAGCTGTCGATCAAGAACCAAATTGCCGGTGCGCCGATCTCCATCGCCTGTCCCGTGATCCAGCCGACATGGCTCGAGTACGTTCTGCTGAGCCAATTCGGACTGACACAATTGTGCAAGCCCAGAGCGTACAGACCAAGCTGGAAGGCGCACATGTGAAGGGCGCGATGGGGCCCGTGATGATTCTGGCTGGTCGAGGCCTGAGTGAACAGAGACGTCGAGCTGTTGCCCCCGGCCTTCGTCAATACGGTCTTCCCGAGCTCGAACATAAAGTGGGCACCAGCCTCCGACGGCTGATTCGGGATCGATGGTTTCGCGATCGACGCCCGCTTGCTCTTGAACCTGTGCCGGGATGAGCTGAAATTTTTTAATGAGTGGTAGCGTTGTCCTTGGAGCGAGGGCCCCGTTACGGAATGAAAATGTACCGCCACTACGCTAAAATTTTATACCCAATGATGATGCAGATAATAACAGGGACGTGAATTTTATCGATGCAACTAATAACGTAGCGATACGATGTCTTTCCGTAAGGAGAGTCGCGTATGGAGCACGCGAGTGCTGTCTCTACCTGTTCTCCTTCGTCCTGGTTGAGACGGATTGCTGGGCTGGCTGCGGCTGTACGGTCAATGTGCTCATGCTCGTCTCCAGCTCGGCGCTAGTGCTACTATGGGGCCGGCTATTAGCGCTCAGGACTCCCTCGTTCGAGCTGGACGCCTCTGGACCTGTTAACGGCGAAGAGCACGCCTTTTCCCGACGAAAATTCGATAACTAAAATTTCGTTCTTGTTAAGCTTACGATCTTACGGACTTAATATTGGCATTGCGATTGTGATATGGAAATATCGGATGATGTGAGTGGGACATGGTAAGGGGTGAGCGGGGAGGGTGGCGAGAGTGGTGGCGGGGTCGGGGAGGAGGTAGGTAGAGGATCGGGGATGTATGTAGCGATATTTGAGAAAAGTCGCTTGGTGGCAAGTTTTCTCACCGATTGATCATGCGAATCAGCTCTCGACGTTAACCCATCTCTTTCAACATTCATTATGGATGTCGAACGAGCGTAATTACTTTCGCGAGGTGTCATTCGACATTAATTCGACTTTCCGACTATTATTCGCTATTAATGATCTAATGATATAAAATACCAACCTGACTCTTCGTCGGTGGATTCGAGCTGTAGTAACTGCTCACTATCGGTGATTTTATTAATTGATGAACATCTCGATCCAGCAGCTTATCCATAATTCTTGCAACTTTCATAGGTTCGTCCTTATAGAAGACCAGGAGTGTTATAGATAGTTCTCCTCTGGAATGGAATTATAACGTTAGTGAATGCGTCATTGAATAGAAGCGAGAAAGTAAATATGGCGAGGAATGTTGCGTTAAAATACCGTTGACGTCGAGTTCCTTCGCAGAGTAACGGATGATCTGCCTCGCTTACATTCGCCTTTAATCCTAGTGCTGCAACCGCCGCATCAAAACCCAAGTTCTCGTCTATCTCCGAGAACGGTCTAATTCCTGCGAATCATTCCCCGCTCTTATAATTAATCAGTTAACAATGATTTTAATCAACACTTTGCATTCGATAAACATTAATTAAAGCGCCGTCATCATATCTCTTGTTTTCTCGACAACACGATCCTTCTCAAAACGATACCACATGATGGCATTTTCAATTATTTTCAATTATTAATATTATTATTATTATTATTTATTGTTATTATTATGATGATAATCATAATTGGGATGTCTATTTGAGGGAGGGATGGAGGGAGGGGGTGGTGGAGTGGAGAGAGATATTATATGACAATTATAGTGCTGTAAAATAGTCTTGAAAACAGGATCATTTATCATTAGTCCGAGGATTATAGGGATACACAGACACCGTATAATCTTCTCTAATCGTAAACAAAAGCTACGTAATAATAATCATTATTAGTATACTCGTACTTGGCATATTAAGTGCATCGAAGATGAAGCTTGCCAGCATTATTGGTAGAAGAGCATGACCCCTTGAACGGAGAAGTCCGTCCCGAAGTTGTTTTGCTCTTATCCTGAGCATCGCAACTTGTTGGGCTCCTAAAGGTATGCGTTTAAGTAAATTCACGAGCTCGCTTTCTTGATGAGCCAGTTTCACCTGAAAATAGACATTAATTGAATTTTAAAATAAGCCGCATTATTTATTAATCTAGCGTTTACTTTAAACAAACGTGCCTTATTTACATTAAGCAGGCAATAAAGTGAAGTAATATTGAAAATTGTCAAGAAACTTGTATACCGAAATAAATACTGCTTTTGAATTGATAGGATTTAACGGTTAAAAAAAAAAAAAACTATGTATATTTTATAAAGCCAGGCACGCTTTAACAAAGTGGTACAAGCTAATTATTTAATACAAAACGACTTTTACCTCGAGCGATTTGGTGCTTGCGGGTGGTCTAGCCATCTCTAAACCAAATAGACCGACGTGGAAGGCCAAATTATAATATTCTGGATTTTCGGCTAGAACCGTGCAAAGGAAACCGCATTTTGCCAGGGTTGCCGAGGCTGAACAGGTTAGCTGATGAGAGGCGGGATTCACTTGTTGCTGAAGAAAAAATTTCATCGTGCTTCATTAATATCAGCCTTCGATTATCGCGTTAATTGACAATAGCCGAATGCACTTACTTTCTTCCTTTTGCCCTTGACGGGCATAGGAGGCACTTCGATCATGAGATCCGGTGGATTTGCAAGCAGCTCCTTGGCCAGCTTAACACCGAGAATACAAGCCTCTCGTGTATGTCCGTGAGCGTAAAGTCCCTCTGCCCTCGCAAAGAGAATGTCCCACGGGTCCTTGGCGATCTTAAGATTACCTATTATTATAAGAGGCAAAAAATGTATTAATACCATTTACTATAGCAAATAATTTTATAAATATTAAAATATTCTACGGACGTGCGATACTCCATTCGATGCCCCTTTATTATTTATTGTGAATAGTCAATATTTCTTCTGCTTAATCGATTTGTTACTTCTTGATATTGAGTACGGATCAATGCTCGTGCGACATTAACATGACTGCATGGTATTTATCTTACAAAGCTGGCGGCTGATTTATTAAATATACCTTACGAACGAACTACGCGTGCCTATTGTAGCAGCTCGTTTTAGTAGTGCCGTGGCGTCGGGAAATAGGAAGGACGTACGAAAGTAACGTGGGAGTCCCGACGCTTGCAAGTAACGAAGGAGAATTTATTGGATATTGGCATGAGATAAGCTGCTATCGCTATCCCGCATAATAATAGCGGTCTATTGGAAGAAATTCTGTTGGACAGTTAGGATTAATGTTTGGCTTCCAAATAATCGTCGTTTGGGAATAAAGAAACACTTTGCTCTTGCATTATGCGGCTCTTGGAGCACCATGGAACTCGATACTATTAATCGAGAAACGTCATCTGGTAAGTTGGCATTCCTTATTATTGCGCATTAATATTATTCGCGAGTCTAAAGCTTTCGACATTTGAAAAGGCTTCTTACCGTGGCCTACGCCCATACGCCCTGTTTCCCTACGAAAAGAAGAAGGGGGCGTAAAATAAAGAGAAAGGAGCATTGATAGGGGACGACGATTAAGAGAAAAGAAGGAGGAGAGGGGTGGTGAAAAGGATTCGGCTATAAGGGGCCTGGAGTGGGGATTAAGAAACGACTGTAGCGCCACCATTTTGCTTCAGGGTATTAAACGGTCAATTTTCCATTCGAGATAGGAAAATCGCTGCGAGCACCGAGTTGCTCCTAGCTAGTTGCATGCTAGCACCTAAATCCCTATTCGAGGTTATCGAGGTTATCGAAGTTATCGAGGTTAAAAATGGGAAATCGTTACGGAACCAAGACTCGCTAATCGTCCCCTCTATTATCTTTTCTTGACCCTTAGAGAGGGAGGATTATGCTGCCATCGGAGTGCTTTAACGGAAGATCGTACGTTGTTATTCTCGGCTCTCTCCAAGTATCATCTGATCAACCGATTGGAACGAACATGGGGCCGTGCCTTTTTGGACGCGCAGGCAATGTAATTAAAGCAATAACATATTTTGCCAGCAATGGACGCACTCTATGTTAATAATGAATGACACTGACAATTAATAACGTCGTGACAGACTCGAAACATATAAAATCTCACGTCCGTGAAATATCATATTTCGTATTTACTAATGGCATCGCGGCAATTGTGCAGAAAAACAAAACAAAAAAAAAAAAAAACAAAAAAAAAAAAAAAAAAACCAAAAAAAAAACAAAAACAAAAATCAATACCTTATTATCGAGCAATCGGCTTACAACGAAATTAAAATTAACGAGAAGAACCCTTTACCAAGGACACGCATCAAGTCTCATTTTATAATTCGTTGGTCCGCCAAAGGAAAACTTATCACGTTACAGAATACACAATAGCATCGTATCGAGCACAATGGTCCCGGTCTTACAAATGACAAAAAATGATTGAAAAGATAAGAAATGACATTGGGTACCTAAAATGATGCTGACGTTCGCAGTCGTCGAGCCATGCGTCTCGACCTTCGGATCCTTGCCCGTGGCATTATTCACGGCCGCCTTGGGATCATAATAATAAACATTATATTCGTCGCCGGACGGACTGTCGCTACTCGAGCATGAGCTTTCGTCCTTGGAGGGCCTCCTGGAGGGATCCTTGTCTCCGTCAAAGGTACCCTCCTTCTTCTCCGGCGTGGCGACAGCCGTCGTGGCCGCTCCTGCGACCGGTGCCGCTGAGGCCTGGCCATTAGTAACGACGACCGCCGGGGATGCGGACGTCGATGCCGAGACTGTCGCGCTTGACGTCTTGGAGCATCCGGGCGTCGTTGCTGCGGTCGAGGCCACCGACGGCACCACGACGCCCCCGCCGCTACATTTTCCGTCGCTCGCCAACTTCTGCATGCTGCTATCGCTCGTGTCGCTCTGGCTCTCGGAGGAGGCATTCGAACGTATCTGACCCGAACAATGCGACTTCTTCATAATCACGTTGCTGTTCGATGAAGATTCGCTGCCGCCACCCTCCTTAATAAAATAAACAAACATGTCACCCAATGTCGAGTATTATAATATGCATTATTATATATTAAGACATCATTTTCCTTATCGACCTGCCTTTAATTAGTGCACGGATAATGTGAAAGGAATAATCCATTAATATGATAATTAGCACTTTCCTTTATATTTACAATTATTTTGCAGGCTTTTATTGGAAATTATGTTTAATTTTTCTATTTCTTCTAGTGCTTTTCTTCTATTTCTCGTTTTACTTAATTACATTACTCTGTTTTAACTGCCTATCTCGTATATAGCTAATGTTAAAATATTCGATCCCTTATCCGGTAAAATAACAAATATATAAACATTATCATCAAATAACGTGTATTATCATAGTAGATGATACAGTGATCGGTAATTAATTTAATTTTTTTTTTTTGTCAACTACATTCATCTGCTCCGTGTTTCAATATTTGCATTGGAAAATTGAAAGTAAACGCGGTTGACTCGAGGATGATTTAAATGATTTCGAACATTATGATGAAACGCGTTTCACGTTGGAAGAGTAATTGTTTTTACATCGACATCCCTCCACGATAATTCCAGCCGTTTGATTAAAAATCCAAAGCTAGCGCACAACCTTTTTAAAGCAATAGGCTCAAGACGACGGAGAAAAAGGGGGCGAGATCGTACCTGCGAATCGGTGTCGCAGCAATTGTTCATCTGACTGAGGCCGCGCCTAAATTGCACGACCGGTAGCTCTGGCATGTCCGCTATGTCGCCGTCGTTCTCGCAGAAGCCCTCGCTGCTATCGCTGCTACGATTTCCATCGCCACCCCCGGCCCCGGCTCCGCCTGCCCGTGAGCACAGTCCTGGGAAGTACCGGTGATTCAGTCTTCTGCGGTCCATGTAGCTGAACTCGACGAGGCAGGCTTGCCTTCGGCTATGATGATGGGAGCTCGGCGGTTGGCAATTCAGCACCGCGGAGCTCGAATTCACCTGTTTGCCAATGACGTACGTATTAGAGTGTCGATTCGGCGAGTGTACTTCCTTCGCTTCATTCGCTGCTCCTCCTGCCAATCCACTTACCTGGTTAACCTCCGTCCTCGTGTCACCGGTATGTCGGAAACACGTGAACGGGCAATGGTACATGGGATTGCTACTAGCCGTATAAGTAATACCGGGTAGCGTGTACTCCTCCCAGTCGAGGTAGCAGGCTTCGAGAGCCGGTTTGAAGCCTATGAAGAGTTCGAAGCTCGTCTTCGGTGAATCCTTCTGACCGCCTCCATTGTTTCGATTGTGCGCGTTCTGATAGACCGGCGTGCCTCGAACCTTGGTCAGCTGTTGCGTTGATTAAGAGAGGATGGGAGAGATAGTTAAATTACGAGACAAAATATAATAAACAAGAATGTGAAGCTTGTAAAGGGAGCTTGTAAAGTGGAGCGAGCACATTGTATTTAATTATAAAGCTGCTCGGCATGCAAGAATTTAAGTGAGATAATCAAGTAGAAGCCTTTTGAGTAAAAGGCCAAAAGTAAGTAGGATTGATGCTAAAGTTCGAGCGGCGAGCACATGTGAAGGCAATGATAAGCGAACCTTGTCGATGGTCTTCATGTGCCAGGCCGTGAACTGACCGTGCAGCATTTCGCGCTCCGAGGGCGAAAGCCCGGGATTGAGGGCGGCCAGCCTCCAAAGGATGACGATCTCGTCACAGAGGGAAGAGCAGGCGTGCTGGGATGCGTGGGCGTTGCTGTTCATATTGCCGTGTTTGCCGCCACCGTAGCTGTTGCCGTTGAGGAGGGCGACCTTCGTGTTGAACCACCAAACGAGTATCTGCTCGCAGGCCAGGCATTCCTCGGTGATGATCTCCAAGAGGGGGATAGCGTTGCGGTCGGTACGTTTGAACATCTCTCGAACGATGCTCAGCAGGTTCCACATGCCCTCGGGTTCGCGGCCGCGCAGCGGCCGCAGGAGGGAGGACCATTCGGCAGCCGCTGGCGGTGCCGTTGTACTCAGATAATTCACGTCGCTGCATAAATAAAAGTGGTCAATCGGGTGTATTCGACTCGTCGTGTATTCTTGTGATTTAACTATTGTACGGCACATATTGGTATTGAGCTTATTGGGTTTGGTTGTACGATTACGACTTACGACTGTCATCGAGTCTCAAATTATTGATATTTGGCTACGAATACTTGCATGCAATACATACGCGCGCGCGCGCGCGTGCGTGTACGTATTGAAAATGTCGACTTCTTAGGCACGTGAAATAAGTATCTGATGAAAAGTAGTATTACTTTTATAGAAATGTCCTAGAACGCCTAGAAAGCCTTTAAATTGTCAGCGAGCCTCATTCGAAGCATATCGCGATCGTTTTTCTTCGATTGTAAAAATAAATTACACGAGCCATCTAAGTGAATCAATCAAACGCTTAGAAATATATACTTTACAAGTTCCGAAAAAAAAGAGAAAAAAAAGTTTTGAGAAATGTGATTAAAAAATTAAAACCTTATAAGCCACAAGGTATTAAGAATAAAAAAAAAAACTTAGACGTTCCATTGAATTTTGAGATACAAAGTACATTAAAAATTTTTTCCCGGCACTAAGATAAGTCTAATAAAGCCTAACAAATAAGCTTAATAAAAAGACTTTCCATTCTATCTTTATAATCATAAAATAAGGATAAGGATTTCGGTCGATGAATGTTGATTGAGAGTAGCATTAAATTGCATGAAATATAATCTGTCGTTTTCGAAAGAAGCTTATCTAGCTAATAAAATATTCATACTTTTAAAATAAACGTACTTTATATAAGTTGTTTATGCATTACAGTTAACTAAATCTTTCTGCCACTGAAGCATGTGAAAAAATTATAATCTGGGCATGAAAGTGGGGCGCATTTGCTTTATAATTATAATATAACCAGCGGTAAACGTTCGATTAGAGATTGAAACCGTCATTCGTCGATTCTGACGAGTTTTAAATTGTTGCGACTTGAAAGTGATCGGTAAACGTTGGAATATCGAGCAGATCGTTTAAGCCGTAACCTACGGATTTGAAATTTCTTAAAAATTTATGGCATGTTTTTTTTCTCGTTATTTTTTTTTAAAGAGTTTTTTTTTTTTTTTTCAACAGCAATACCGTACATTTTTATTACTCTTATTACGTATGTACTTCGTAACAGTGTACATTTCGCTACTAAACAAAATGTATGTATTATGTGCAACGAATCGATAACCGGGAGCATCGCACTCTTCGTAACACGTCAGAGCTCCTGCAAATGTTCAGCGATTAAATAACGTCGCATGAAAGCCGCTAAGGCCGGAATGAAATGAAAATGAAAATACAGCTGCCACCAACCTGAAGACGATGGGCGCAGGCACGCAGAATTTGATGAGTATTTTCTTGATGTTTTTGTGAAGGGTTTTCTCGTCGAGATACCACGATGTCTGATCGTTGGCTGAGGCTCCGGCCGTCGGGTCTGGGGCGCCGCAATACGTATTGATGGCACTCGGCGTCGCGGACAGCAGCTCGTCCAGGAGGCGCTGAGCCGTCGGCAGGATCTGCTGGGGCAGCTCGCTTATAAGATACTGGGCGAACTTCTGAAGCTGCTCACGCTGCAGCCGTGACAGGGACTCGGACACCGGCGCTCTCAGGCACACTTGTGTCGGCTGCAAAAGTCAAATTTAGCATTATTTCCCTTCGCGTGCTTCGGTTTCACCACGTGCGCCATGCCATTGAGTGCATCGCATTATTGATTTTGCATCCTTGTTTTTTGTTGTTATTTGGACGATATTTATAATCGCCGATCAATATTCAATCTGTCGATCTGAATTATTCTTAAACTACGCTTGAAATCTTTGAGATCGTAATGACGCTCCTGTGACATTAACGCGTATTGAACTTCAATACATAAATTGTTTATCTATCGAATAAAGATAAATTACGAGGCTCGTATTAATGGACATTATCGCAAAATATCGTAGTAAATTTTAACGTTTATAATATAATGACTTAATAAACTTACCGCTAAATTTTATGATCGTAATCGAGCAAGTGGCGCAATTTTTCATACAATAGCACAAAAAAGCGATTCGTGAAAAATAAATTGACTAAACAACAATATTTTCAGTGCTTTTTGACATGAATTGTGATTAAACTTTCGAAGCTTTAATGTTCCATGGATTGTCTAGCTCTGCGATAATTCAGTGCCATCATACACATTAAAAATACACGTACAATACGTATTATAAAATTTGTTTTTAATTAGCTCGAATAATCATAATTCAAGTTATAAGTTAGTCTGCCTCGAGATCTCAATTATAATCCAAGTCGTTCCGGCCCCCGCGTTTAGCTACTTATTGGACTTGACAAGAGGATTGGAAACCACATATCCCGCGCGAATCCACCTACCATGTGTATCCTGTGGAGACATACTGCGACTACGTGAGAGCACCAATAGGCGGCCGAGGAGCACGTGCAGTTGCACGATGTGATCCTCCGACGATCGAATGTTACCGCAACGTTGTATTGCTCACGGAAGCCGCTGGTCGAGACGATAAGGGCCGTCACCGTGGCACTCAGGTGAAAGCCTGCAAAAGAAAGGTGCATGACCATTAAATGACTTGGCTTTAAATAGGCCTTTAAATAATTATAAGTTATCATATATTTGGCGTATGGATCTATCCTCGAAAGCTATGGACATTTAATAAGAATGTTTAATTTAATAAATTATGTGAATCAAGAGAACGATAATCATGATTAATGTGACGATCATCGCTCGGCAATTTAAATATCGCCGTGTGCAATGACGTATATGCGGCTTATGCATACTTATATACAGGGCAATATTGACCGTTACTTCTTAAATTCCATAATTGAAATAGGCATAGAAAATTTAAATAAGCGCTCGTCTTATTGTCTCGGCATCCAATTAACGCATAGAGAATGGATAAAAACGGTTAAGCGCATTTTAAATGTAATTTCGCTTATGCCTCCTACCTAACGAGCATTCTAACGAGCATTTCTACAATTTATTATTTTTTAATGTTAGTCCAGCGTGTTTATAAGAACGAGAAATTAATACTCTGTGTCGATGCTTTTATGAAAGAGTATTTTCTGCTCCATTAAACACTATTTGAAACCTGAGCATTATAAAATCCTTAAATTAAATCACGTATAACTGCAGTGAATTTATAATATTTACTTTTTCTCTCCCCCGCCATCATTTTTTATAATCATCTCGTCTGTCTCTTGACATATTGTTATTATTAACAGAAACTTGATAAATGTTATATAATTTTACACGTGAATTGGAATAATTAAATATAATCAGACAATATGGAAAAGATACTTCAAGCTTTAGGAAAAATGAGCCAAACAACGAATAAAATTAGTCCTGTAATTTTGCATAAGAAAAAAAGAACTAATTTACATTTCTCGCGTTGTTTAAAAAAACTTGAAAACCATCTTTTCTTCGCGAGAAGTTGATTCTTTTTGTTGGCTGTTTAATGAGAGGGAAAAACGAAAAATATAGGAGCGAAGCTTTTTGCTCGGTATATTTAAAACTGAAAATTTCAGAAATATAGCTAAAAGTAATGAGTTTCTTGCCCGTATAACGAGGGACTAAAAGACTTAAATTAAAAAATCACGTAGATTTGCAGCACCCACGCGAAATTTCTCTCATTTTCGTTCATAGTTTTCTCTAGGAAAGCATAAAATAATGAAGGAAAGAAAATTATTTTTGCCTACTCCGCCCGATATTTAGATTTCGGTTACTGATACCTTTTTTTCAAACAAGGCTCACATATTTCGTGGCTTCGGAAATTTCAGCAAACATTTTGAATGGCTTTGAAATGAATTAGAATTCATTTATTATTTAATATTTTTAATTGTAAAAATATATATTACAGACATAGAATTGAAATTAAAAACAGAGTTAGCAATTTTTATATATTAAATCGTTTAAAGTAATCTCCTGCACTGGCAAAGGTATTCCTGTGCCAGCATTATCCATATTCAAACGAATAATATGCATTCAAGCAGAATTTTTGCATACTTTAGTAGTAAAAAATAATTTTATTTTTAATTTTACTATAAGCTATATGCACGTGAACCGGTAAATGTAAAAAGGAATAAAATTTAGTATTCAGCCTATCCTTTTTGCTCTATTCTTCATTTTACATTTTATCGCTTAATACAATTATTCCTTTACGACCAAATCTTGTATGTTTTTACAAAAATTTTATTCTACTATTACGTATTGTGAATTTTAAGTGGACTCAAGGTAAAATCCACACCCCCGCCCCCCCTCCGACTAGGAGCTTTATAATACCATAATTGATGGTCCAGATGTATATAAGTCTTCATACGAGTACATTCGAACAAATAAATATACTGCATGTGACAGAGAGTAAGAAAAGTGAGAAACAAAGCTCACGAGCCATTGGGAAAGCTCAAGCTCAACTGCTGGCTTGCAGAATTAAAAATACGCGATACCGTAGCGACAATATGTTAAGGAAATAAATTGTAAAACGACAAGTTTAATGGAAGAATTAGAGCGCAAGTGGAAACAGCTTTATCAAATATGTCGTTTCTAGTTTCCAGATTTTTAAGAACTTACTTTTTAACTTACTTTTAAATGATAATTAGCAATCCTTTTGATATTATCTATTTTATCTTATTTTTTTATTTTAAAATTATTTTATCTTATTGATTTTATATGCGTTACTGGAGAAATCCCTTGTGTTATCAATAAATATTTACTAATGGAATTTGCTTAGCTTTTAATTAACAGGATGTTTGGATTATTAAATTAAATATTTTTGTTGGAAAAGCGAGCTATTATGCGAGTATTGTACTATATTTATACATCGACGGAGTTATCATTAAGTAAATATCTTTCTTATGTAAGTTACTAAATCAATCTTTCATGCATAAATTCCATTATTCTACAATTCATGTGTATATTACATTTATATTTTCATGCTCGTTCAAATAAATATTAAAAACATATATACGTATATAACTTTATATATAATGAAGTTAATATAAAACAATCCAAATATTTATATATATTTTTTAAATGCGATTCTCAATTTCGTATGTATTTTAAAAGAAGCTGAAAAATTGTAATAAAACGATACAAGAGAAAGTACTGAATGAGGTCTTTTTTTTTCGAACTTGATAAAAAATTATTATCTTTCTTCTATATTTTTAAAAAATATCTAATTAACTAAAAATACGAACAAGTTAATTAGTGACAAATTTGTCGATTGTATATAAAAAACAGTTTTAAACAAAATATGTAATAAGCTTTCATCTTAATCTAATATTAGTTTCATTAAGTATTTAACATTACAATGAGTATGAAAAGTAGGCTGACAGGCTTAAGAGGCAGATTAAACATTCAGAAATTAATCTAACGTTGAGATTATTATAAAAATAGTGCAATTATCTATATAATATGTTTGAAAACTGAATATTATAAATAATTTACTTAGCCTACACGAAATTCTGTAAGTTTATTACAAAAACACACGTTATAACTAATTTCATTATACAAGTTAGTTTCATTAATTTAAATTGTAAAAACGTTAAAAAGATTATATAAAAATTCCAAAAATTAAGAAGCAATTTTAGGTCTCAAAAATAACTTGATAATACATGAGTACAAATTCACGTATGAAGTGTACTAATTTACTAAAAATGATGTTTAAACTTAATTTTATTTTCCAAAGAATTATATGTGATATTACAAAATATTTGTGAAAGTACTTTCCTTTTCGTAAATACTCATTAACAAATATTGAATTCTCATGAAATATATAATAATAAATTGATAAAAATCATGCTGACATTTAAATTTTTCTGATCACAATTAAAAATTAAGCAATTTAATTATCAAAAATAAATATAACGACAATAGATTTCATAATAAGTGCGTAAAAAATATTGCGAAAGATACTTACTAATGGATCAATTATATTTCAGAAACGTTCACATAAATTTTTTTTATATCTTTATATAGCTTTTATATTAAATATGCTAATTACTATTCATTATATTTATAATCCAATTATATTAGAAGATTAGCAAGAACTTCGTACAATAAAATATCCATCGTTTAAATTCTGTATTTTCTCTTTTGCTAATGCAAATGACTATAAAATTAATTAAATTCCATGGCTCTTCGTACAATATATAAAACACACAGATTTTAAACACTTAAAATATAAAGAAATAGCATTATAAATGCAATAAAAAAAAAAAAAAAAAAAAAAAAAAAAAAAAAAAAAAAAAAAAAAAAAAAAAAAAAATACGACTTTATCATAAGAAATACATGACATGAATCGTAAATACATTTTTTTTCCAACACCATATACGCCCTATCAACACCATATACCTCCCACTAGGTTCAGTATACATTTTTATCATCCTTGAAACAACATTCGTTTCAATTATTGCTATTTGTGTATATTAGTCTTCAGGCACGAATAAGCCGACAGACAAGAAAGCAGACAATAAGACAGTTGAAGAAATGACAGGCAAACTAAAGATGACTGACCAATTTGAAGTGGATCCTTGACATTCCTGGAGCGGAAAAACATTTCGCCCCGCTGGAACTCGTCGGCGCTTCCGTTGGCGAGGCACGAGTACAATCTGATGTCCTCCTCGTTGTCCGGGAAGCTCCAAAAGGCTATCCTGAGCTGAAGCTGTTCCGGCACCGGCGAGTAAAAGTGCTCCACGAGCTCGAACGGTATGTGGGAGGCAACACATCGTGCCGCGAGTTCGCACAGCGTCGGAACCTTCACACCATCTGCAAATTTAATTAAATTCCCGGCATATTAGTATCCTTTGTCGGGCTTTTTCCACTCAAACGTGCGCCTAAATAAATGGTTAATGTTTTCGTCGCTGTAATTGCGGTTAGCAACGAGTCTCCGTGCCTGTCTTTTACATATGGCAAGACATTAAAATGGCGTGAGCTGAATTTTATTATTGCGAGAAATTGGCTTAAACAAGAAGGATTGATTATACGAGCAGATGCTTCCGAACTCGATTTTGAAAGGCTGTACTTTATGACCTAAGAAGTTTAATTATTTCTTGTACGGCTTGCAATCTGGATCTTTCAATAGCGCACTATTAATAAATGCATGAAAATATATTAGAACATTGTTACGGAAGAGTATTTTAATTTATAAATTAATATAGGGAAATATTAAGGGAGATATTAACTATGTTATGCACGAATTATAACGAACAAAAACATTTATAATACGAATAACGGGAAGATCGTAGACATTCTTTCTTTGAAAATTTCAATTATAACATCAAGCTCGAATAATGTTTACAAATAACAATGCAAATAAAAATAGATTTATTCTATCTTTTCGATGTAAATTAAAATAACGTTATATCCTTGTATGCATTATATATATATAAGGAAATAATTTAATAAACTATTTCGGAACGTGTTTGGCTTCAAAATGATTTTTTTAAATTATTTCCAAATTCATTGATTATGAGATGATATTTATTATCATTTATAGAGATATGAGTAGTAGCGAAATTGTTAATATTTAAAAAGTATTATTATTTAAGTAAGCGTCAACAAAGTAAGTTCCAAACAACGCTAAGAACTGCTTACAAAAGGGACTTGATTTCGTGAGAAAAAAAACTTATAACCATTCATTTTAATATACACATTATTTCGTTTTATCTTTTATGAAATCACTTCTTTCTTCATGTATAAAACAAAAAAAATAAATAAATAAATAAATAAAAAAAAAATAAATAAAAAATGAAGAAAAAAAAAAGAAAAACACTTTTCACATGAGTTTAATTAAAAACAGGACTCCATAATATGAACGTCAACTTTTCATTTTAATATAAAAAATCAGTATAAATTTCTTCGTTGATAAATCAAATGACAACATTTCTGACACACACACATACGCACGCGCGCGCGCTTATATAAATGGAATGCCACCCCTTTTTAAAATAAAAATATATATGCATACGAAATGTAATTAACGAAAGTCGAAGGTTACATACGTGCCTATATTTTCATTCTTATCTTATGCTCGAGCAATTGTATTTTAAAATCGTTAAATGAGCTTTTTCTTCCTGCTCATGCTTAGCACACACTACGATCTTGCCAACCGGTTGCACTCAATAGCGATCCTTACCTAGTCGAATTTAAATAACATACTTTCGTTATTTCCTTCTAATTTGACCTCATCGCCAAATACAGGAGAGTAAAATTGTAATGGGATAAAATTAAAAATATTATATAATTACTATAAAATAGCTATAATTTACATCCTACTAGTGTAATCAATTTTATTTTTAATTCTATAAACAGGGAACTCATGCTTTTCAAAAGTATGCGCAATTTATTTTTATTACTCATAAAATCGCAATTTAAAATACGAATACTTTTATCAATCAATTTTATAACAAAATTAATTTATTTCCTCTTGACTATCGTAAAAAAAAAAAAAAAAAAAAAAAAAAAAAAAAAAAATTAAGATTTACAATTTTATCTACTGCAAGATCTTTTCAATTGATTACTATCACCACACGCCAAAACGCCTTTTTCACATATATGAATTGAGTATACGACATTTGAACGCGAATGGCTGACGTGAACATATAAATAAATAAGTAGTTACAAAGAGACGATAGAAACCAGCAGATATATAAACGTAATGATGAACAAACACTCATAATGTACTCGTCTTTTAGTGTATCAGTGTACGAGTATATGTACATTACCAGTTGGTACAATATTCTTCGTGGAATATCGAAAGGTATTTGAAATCTCTGGGAAACGGAAATACCTCAATAAAATAATAAACAGCATTCGTTAAATAAATGAGGAAATTAAAAGAAGATTCCACTCGGGAAATGCATGCTTTTATTATGTCGATAAATAATTGAGAAAATTCATCTTTTATAATACAATTTTAAATAGGAAATAAAGTTCGGTAATAGATAACGGATAATCTTGTATAAACGACTAGGATATTATTATAAAACATAATGACAATTAAATCGAGCTTTTACAAATATGAATAAAATACGGGATTGACATAGAAACTCAATATTGTCGCTTGATTATAATTTACATCAATAATTTGTTATGAAAATAATTTTTAAATGATAATTAAAACAATAATTAAAATTCAAATTCAAAACAGAATTCATTTATTTTAATTATTTTCCTACATTTTCTTGAACAGATTAGGTGACAAAATTACGAAGACTTTCACTTTGTCGATTAATATGAAAATAACATAGATTGTGAAATTGTATTG